CAGCCACTTCAACAAATGTTCCTGGGAAAAGTGGTTATCTGCCTGTAAAAACTGAAACTAGATCCATGTTTATCACCCTGTCCTAGTATCAACTCAAAATGGATCAAGGACCTTAATATCACACCTGAAACTCTGAAGTTAGTACAGGAAAGAGCAGGGAATACTCTGGAAGCAATAGGTGTAAGCAAGGACTTCCTCAATAGAACCCCAGAAGTTCAGCAACTAAGAGAAAGGATGGACAAATGGGACTACATAAAATTTAAAAGCTTCTGCACAACAAAAGAAATGGTCTCTAAACTGAAGTGACCACCCACAGAGTGGGAGAAAATATTTGCCAGAAATACATCAAACAAAAGACTGATAACCAGAATACACAGGGAGCTCAAAAAACTAAACTCTCACAAAATCAGTGAACCAATAAAGAAATAAGCAACTGAACTAAATAGAACTTTCTCAAAAGAAGAAATCCAAATGGCCAAAAAAACATGAAAAAATGCTTACCATCTCTGGCCATAAAGGAAATGCAAATCAAAACCACACTAAGACTCCACCTCACCCCTGTTAGAATAGCTATCATCAAAAACACCACCCACAACAGGTGTTGGCAAGGATGTGGGGAAAAAGGAACCCTCATACACTGCTGGTGGGAATGCAAGCTAGTGCAAGTACTCTGGAAAACAATATGGAGGCTTCTAAAAAACTAAACATAGATCTGACATATGATCCAGCAATCCCACTCCTAGGGATACACCCAAAGGAATACGACTCAGGTTACTCCAGAGCCATCTACTCACCCACGTTTATTGCAGTATTATTCACAATAGCCAAGTTACGGAAAAAGCCAAGATGCCCCACTACAGACGAATGGATTAAGAAAATGTGGTATTTATACACAATGGAATTTTACTCAGCCATGAAGAAGAATGAAATCTTATCATTCGCAAGGAAATGAATGGAACTGAAGAACATCATTCTGAGTGAGGTTAACCAGGCTCAGAAGACCAAAAATCATATTTTCTCCCTCATATGCGGACTTTAGAACTAGGGCAAAGGCAGTAATGTTGTTGGACTTGGGTCACACGCTAAGGGGAGAGCACATATGGGAGGAATGGGGATAGGTAGGAAATCCAAAACTTGAAAGTGTTTGATGTCCCCACTGCAGAGGAGCTAATACAGTAACCTTAAAGCAACAGAGGTCAATATGGGAAGGTGACCGGGAAGTAGTGAAAAAGTCAGATAGAGATGAGTCAATTCGGGTTGTAATACACTTGTGCATGGAAGCAATGCTAAGAATCTCTCTGTATAGCTATCCTTATCTCAACCAGCAAAAACGCTATGTCTTTCTTACTATTGCTTATGTCTTCTCTTCAACAAAATTGGAGGAAAGGGCAGAACAGGTTCTGCCTGCAAGTGAGTGGGGTGGGGGAGAGAGGGAAGGGGTGGAAGGCAGGGGAGAGAAATGACCAAAACAATGTATGCACATATGAATAAATAAATAAAGAAAAGAAAAGAAGCCCTTGGAGGACAGTAATAATAATAAATATAATAATAATAATGTGACCAATTAGCATTACAAAGCAAAGCCCAAAAGTCTTCTGATTACTACTGGGTTACATTAAAGGCCCTAAGTCTGATACAGGGTCATGTCTCCTGGGTCAGGACAGACACACACGTAAATCAGCATCAGGACTGGGGTGCAACTCAGGGTACAGTACTTGTTAGCATATCAAGGCCCTTGATTCAATTCCCAACACCACAGTAAATAAATAAATTAAATTAACAGATACATCAGTACCAAATAAAGGTACAAGAAAAATTCAAATGAAATACTGAATTATTTCCATACAAATAATGGAGTTGAGACTGAAAATAAGTCTCTGTTGTAAAATAATTTGTCTGTTATTTACTCTGTGTTCTTGGCACAAACTTCAAACACTTGTGGGATTTCCTAAAAGATAATGTTTGTGATGCTAACAACGAGCAAGTCATGATGGCCCCTAGTTACTACAGAGACCAACCATATGATTTAAAGACTAGGACTTTGAGATGGGCCCATTTCAGAAGAGGGAAAGGGGCCCTTCTGAAATTTGGGCCAATCACTTTATCAGTCATACCCATGTAATAAGATCTCAATAAAAACTCTGGATATTGAGACTTCTTGAAGCAGGTGGCACTTCCTAGCAGATGAGTACACAGATGGGCAGAGAGGGTGACACAACTTAATGCCATGGCAAAGCACAGAACTCATTTCCTTCTCCTGTGTGTTCATCTGCTTTATTCTTCTAATCTGTATTCTTGATAATAAAATTGTAAGCCTAAATACAGCACTTTCTTTGAGTTCTGTAAGTTGTTCTCATGAATTATCAATGCTGAGGGACGTCATAAGGAATTATGACCATTTATAGCCATTTGATCAAAAGTGTTGGTGGGCTAGAGATATCTGCAGTGCAGCTGGCATCTAAAGTAACAGCAATTTTGAGGAGGACTAAGCCTATAAATTGTGGAGATTAATGGTAACTCCTGGTTACCATCAGAACTGCATTGCAATATTCCCAACTGCATATGAAACAAAATGTCTTTAAGCCAGTCAAGTTGCAAAACTGTTGAGCACTGTTATGAAAAAATAGTCATAAGACATTTCACTCATTCAAGTTAGGCTATCCATACATAATGATTTTAAGAATACCCATTTCTCATAAAATACCCATGGTTCTCGTATTTTAATGAAGAAAATAAATTTTTGAAAGAAGGCAACTCTTAAAGTTAAATAACCACAACAGACTCTCAAGATATCAGGTCTCCTCATCTGTTCTGCCCTTACCTAGCCCCATGCTTTACAAGGGCCACCTGCAAATGTATCAGCAAGTAACCTGCCCCAATTTGTGAGAGAAATCTGTCTTTCCATTAAATGGTAGACAGTTAATACTTCCCACTAGTTTTTGGAGGGATAAACCAACTTTTGTCTTCTTTCTACTACTATTGCTTGTTAAGCCTGTGTAATGAAAAGCCTTGTGCTATTATTGTTTCAAAGATATTTGCCTTCTAATGAATGGGGATAAGCATGTAGTTTAGTGGTAGAGCACTTGCCTAACATGTGCGAGGCCCTAGGTCCAACTGCTGATCAAAAGATCTTTGATTCCTTATTAAAAAAAAGAATACACTTAAAATTCCGTTCTTGTTTATTAAAAAATAACAAGTTAACATTGATGTTGCAAAAGGAATACTGTATGTTTGTCAAATTAGTCCTATAATAGAAATAAAAATTTTAGAAAAAAAAACTGATCATTTAGAATTTGATAACAATCTCAGAAATAAGAACTCCACAAATTATTATTTGTCATCTGACAGGCTAATGAAACAGCAGGCTCTTAAACAACATATTTTGAAATTCCAATAAAGTACAAGCTTAGGACCAATCAGAAAACAATCAGAGATTATTGAGCAAGCATTTAGTTTACACATAATATGAAGGTTTACACTGATTGCTAAGAACCAATACAGCTCTATTTGTGGTCATTATTTCATGTTCAGCAATTTTTCAGCACAGATTTATGAGATGGATATATAATCTATTGTATCTAATGCTTAAGACATTTTGATATTTAAATACGATGCAAGTAATAAGATAATGTCTTAATCTGTAATTTGCAGGTAAATTTGAGGAACCTCCCCACCACCACAGCTCACATCTGACATTTTTCTAAGTCAGAGAATGGATTACATAGATGTTACAAAGTGAAGAATCATAAATTGGTTGACAACGAAGAAACATGAGAAATATTTTACACTAATAAAAGTAAATGAAAAATAACTGAAGTCTACTCAGAATAGTTCGCAAAAAAGGTGGCATCTTTCTAAAAGGAATTATCAGTGATAAACCATGAAAGTCCTAATCAAAGATTCTTATAAAAGTGCATTAAAAGATAGAAAGTCATACATTAAGTCTCAAACAAAACTGTTTTGTACAGAAAGTATAACTGACTTTGAACGAAAGATGATTGATGGTGATATAGATATGAGGGAAAGCTGGTAACTAAAAGGCTCTAAAGCTGAGTGATAAAAATACTTCTAGGGTTTGTGAAGTGGCTCAAGTGATAAGAGTGCCTGCGTAGCAAGTGTGAGGCCCTAAGTTTAAACCCCATTGCTGGCAAAAAAATAAATAAATAATAGTAATTCCAGTATTTGGTCACAAAACTATACGTTATACAAAAGTCTCAGAAAGGGAACAATATGCAACCACCTCTTTTGTTAACTAATATAAGTAAATAAGTACAAAAACAATCAAAACTTAAAAGGGGCAAAGGACCTCAGGTGTAGCTCAGTGGTAGTGTAGCCCAGCATGTATGAGGGTCTGGGTTCAACCCACAGCACAGTAAAAAAACAGAAAATAAGAGCGACAAAAACTCTTTTCAGCTGAAATAGACAGAAATCCTGAGACAGAAATCTATCTAGAGGCCATCTGCCCAGTAACATGAGAAAAATAAATGATAATAGTAAAACAAGTGAAAGCTCATTTAACTTTGATAGGACTATAAAAGAAAACATGTACACCACCAAATTTAAAAGAAAAAAAAGTTACTACTTATCAATTCATCCATTTATCACAATTACTAGAAGAAATTTATCAGAGTTAAGACTACATACACCAATAGTATATTGGTCAGTAGTCTAGATTTGGCAAAAAGAATGCCATGTTTACTTTCTTAGGTATAACATGTAAAGTTTATACTGAAAATCTAGATATAAGATATTTCAAGCTCTTTTTATCTAAAAGATAACTTCATAATTTTACATATCCAAAAATTTTAAAGGAAGCAAACAGAAAAATTCACATTCACATGAGAAAAGTAAATTAAGATAGTAAAAAATGTTTTCCACCTGTTATTTAGTGTTACAATATCGCAACCAGCAAAAAGTTAAGCTTCTTTCCATGAGGTTATCTGTAGGGTGATTTCTTTCTCTTTGGATAAATAGAACAATCCAAGAGTCTACATACTAACCTGGCCCAGTCCAGGCATACCTCCTCCAAGTCTTAGAAGTCTGTCCATATTTCTAGAAAACAGAAACAAAGGAAAATGTTCTGAAGCACAAAAATGTTTACTCAATTGGTATCTATATAATTCACCTTCAGTCACTCAGTATGTCAAAAATATTGGTGGTAATTACAACACAACATCAGACTTCCTGTTAATTAACACCACATATTAATTCAAGAAGCTGTCTTCCATGCTAATTAACAGACCTTATTTCACTGCTTTGGTTTTTGGGTTATCCCCAGTTTTAAAGACAAGCAATCTTAGCATACTTTCAAAACTTTGCTATCATTAAGTTAATTATATTTTCTTATTGTTATCTAATAAACTACCTGAATAAGGAAAAAGTGCCTGAAATGCTTATCATATGTTTGATTGAATTTTCTTCAATTTGTCCAGAGTATACAAATAAAAATCCTCACTTTTAAATTAAATTTTAACATCCTCATTAGTAAGTTCTGTGCTAATTAACTTACAGCTTGTCAGTTATCATCAAAACTACATGTGAAAGACATTGTGAGCAGATTATGGATCTCTGAATTAGCATCAAAGGCTTTTTAAAAATGAACTCATTATACTAAAAGAAATATTATAAACATTAAATGAATTAAGATAGTGTTTTAGTATCTACACAAATACATTGTTGATTCAGATGTAGAAATATAAACCTTTTTCACTAAGGAAATTCAGCTGCTAATCTCAATTTCAATTTCAGAGTTAGTCAATACAAAGAGGCTTAACTTTAAAATATCTATTTTCAGTGTTATGTATAACTACAGAACATACTCACAAACTTGAAAAACTCAAAGAATAAAGGAATGAAATAATAGGTGTACTTAACTATGGCCTCAAGCACATAAAAAGTAATCAAATATAAAAATTAATAGCAATACAACTAAGTACTTATAAAATGAAATAAAGCATGTTTTTACTTGAAAATTACTACTAAGACTTAATATTACTCTTTTTCCTAAAATGTATTTTTTAGAAAATACTACCATAAATCATATTATAAATATAATTTAGTGCTAATGGATTAATCATTTGTCCACATTATTTTACTAGTTAGAACAACTGTATAAACTAAAACTCAATAATATACTTAGGATGATTACATTTCTGCTCTACTATATTTACTGTTATTTACAATAACATTTTGGCCTGCATTTAACAATGATAATACTAGAAACTTTATTAAAGCCCACATAAAGAAAGGTACACAAATGAAAAAAACCACAGACTTGCCGGGTGCCAGTGGCTCATGCCTGTAATCGTATGTACTTATGAGGCTGAGATCAGGAAGACCGCCATTCAAAGCCAGTGCAGGCAAATAGTGCAAATAGTGCAGAAGACCCTATCTCAACAAAACTCATCACAAAATAGGGTTGCTAGAGTGGCTCAAGGTGTAGGCCCTGAGTTCAAACCCCAGTACCACAAAAAAAATTAAAAATAATAAATAAAATCACAGACTTTTCAGTGAACATACTCATGTAACCACGCCTAAATAAAAAATCTATACCTCAGAAATGCCTCTCAATCCCCTTGCAGTCTCTATCACTCTCGAAAGGTGAGACTCCAACTTCTAACAGATTAGTTCTGCTGATTTCAAGTTTTACATAAATAGAATCATATTTTTTTGTGTCTGGCTTGTTTCACTCAACATAATACAACAGAAAACTTCATTTTTATAAATGAAAAGGCAAGAAAACTTGATATTCTAGACAAAATTTCCACTTCACAATCTCACTCATCCTACTAATAACAAAATTCACAAATAAAATCTCCATCAAATTGCCACTAAAATTTCTCAATTCAAATATGGCATTCAATATATAGCATATTTTAAAGACTACAGACAGAAAAAAGTCTGTATATATTACAATATTAAAGACAAATTCTCTAAAATGTATTACCAAGGAAATAAAAATTCTTCTGGGCCACTTCAATCTTATAAACTTGAAGAACCAATAGGAAAAAAACCAGACAGTACACTTTAGTACACACAGTACACTTTCATATGTACACACATATATTTTAATTCTAGGCCAAAGTCAATTCCCAGCTGTGTTCAGTTTATCTATTCCCCCTGTGCTGTTTCTGATGACTTTACACAGGCTCCAGATGCTGTGAATATACATGAGCAATGTGGGGAGCAGTGGGAAAGAAAATCTGGCAGGTCAGATTTGTGTTTTTACAAAACTAAATGTCTCGACAAACAGGAAAAAATATTTAATGAATTAAAACATTTAAAATAAGATGACTGTGAGCAGAGTGCAAACCCCAATACCACACATACACACACACACACACAAAAAGATGCACATGATTTAATAAAAACACTAACATTTGTAAATGAAATATACTAATAAATATTCTAAGTCACACAACTTTTTAAAATCTGGTTATCTACCACACATATTCACAATTTGGTGTCTATTAAAATAATACATTTTCATAGTATCTATAATATACTGAAACAACAGTTAAAGGTAAAATACATTCTTAACCCTTACCTTTTCAGTAATTATAATTCTTAGGGTGTTAAACTTCAATTTGTTGAGCTTGACAAATTTCTCCTTCTTAACTCAATCTTTTGCTAATTCTGACAGATACAACTTTTCCAAAGTATCTTTTCTTCTTCGCCTTAAAAAAAAAAAGTGTATGAGATACAATTATTTTGAGAGTTAAGGAATACATTTTTATAACCAAAGTCTTCAAAAGACGTAAAATTCTGGCAGAATGTGATGGCACACACTTATAGCCCCAGCTACTCAGGAGGATTGTGGTTCCAAGCTAGCCAGGGCCTAAAAGTTAACAAGATCCCTTTTAAACCAATACGCTGGACACAGTGGAATGTAATTATAATTCCAACTACTTGGGAAGAATAGGTAGGAGGATCATAGTCCAGGCCAGGCTGGGCAAATGGTCAAGATCCTACCTGAAAAATAAGTGAAACAAAAAGGACTGGATCTGTGGCTCAGTGGTAGAGCGCCTGCCTAACAAGGTCCTAAGTTCAATGACAGTACCACCCTCTAAAAAATATTTCTAGAAATGAAATCGAAATCAAGATTTTTTTTTCTTCTTTGCAGTTCTGGGGGTCAAACCCAGTACCTCCTCCATGCTAGGCAAGCATTCCACCACCCAAAGTTGATTTTGTCTTAATTTCCTGAAAGCATGGAATGATTTACCAGTGATTAATCCTGTATCCAAATTTTGTTTATACATTTCATTTCTGAGCACTGACTGAGCCACACCTTCAACCCTTTTATGCTTTAGTTTATTTTTCAGAGGTTTTAGCATAGGCTGGCCTCAGACTGAAATTCTCCTATCTCTGCCTCCCACCTAACTGGAAGTACAGGCATATCCAACACAACCAGCTTGTTCTTTGAAACAGGTTTGCTAACTATTTGTTGGGTTGGCCTCAAACCAAGATTCTCCATCTCTGCCTCCTATGTTACTGGGATTATAGCTGTGCACCACCCTGCCCAGCCCTACTTATATTTTTAAATAGAACAAAATTCATTCTACCATACAATTGATATATAGTTCATTACAAACTACTACAAATCCGTAATGCTTTATGGGATCTTAGAGATGCTATTCCTTTTTTATCTTGAAAGTGTGCCATTCATCATCCTCAGTGTTAGTTCATTTCTTAATTATTCACAACTATACCAAAAAGATTAAGATAATAAGAAAATGTAACAATGGTACGAATTACATAAAATAATGCAATCGTGAATCAAATTATAGCAGCTGCATCATCCTCCAGTTCTTTTGTTGCTCTAAGCACTGATTTGTTTTTCAAAAAGTTATAAAACAGGCTGAGGCAGCAAAATCCTGACTTCAAGGCTAGCCTGGGCTACATACTAAGACCCTGTCAAAAAAAAAAAAGACATAAGAGACTAGAGATAGCCAAGCATGGTGGCACATGTCTGTAATACTAGCACTCAGGAAGCTGAAGCAGGAGGAAAAAGAATTCAAGGCCAGCCTGGGCTATTTAGTGAATTCAAGGCCAGCTCAAGTTACATATCAAGACCATGTTTCAAAACAAAAATATATATACATTTTTTTAATGCCTAAAAGCATAATCATTTCAGTTCTTTTCTTAGTTTTCACTAAACATACTTTAGAATTCAGAATTTTTCATTTTCTACCCAAAATGGCAAAGGGAAGCAAGCTCACAAAAGAAAAAGGTTCCCCAATTATTAGAAAGCACAAGATTAATGCAAAGAAATAGCACTCTGGTCTCTGACAATGATGACAATAAAATTGATGGTACAAGCCAAAATTTATTAACTTTGGTACGACTCAGAACCAGTAACATTTTTTGCTGTGGGGGCTGACATGTGCCTCACAGGATGTTTAATAGCATCCTTAGCCTCTGTACGCTAGATGCCAGTAAGACCTACCCAGTTGTGACAAAAAATGTCTCCAAACATTGCCAGTGTCTCCTGAAAGGGAAAAATCACCCTCAATTGAGAATCACTGGTATAAACAAAATCTTAGGCTATACATTTGAGATGACAATATCCTAGATTAATTAATCTATTAATTAACCTAATTAATTAATGTAGATTAATCATCTCAAATTTAAGAACCAGTGAATAATGGAAACAATTTGACAGTTCTGCAAAATTTAAACATGAAATTAACATATGACCCATCAATTCCATTCCTAGGAACATATCTGTAAGAATTTTAAACAGGTCATTAAAACAAGTACACACATATATTTTATAGCATTACCATTCACAAAAAACAAAATGTGGAAATGGTCCAAACACCCACCAAAGGATGAACAGAAAGCAAATGCTACTATATATACATATACCATATAATACACGGAATATTATTCCACTATAAAAAGGAATGAAATTCTGATACATATTATAACTTGGCTGAACCTGAAAACATTATGCTAGGACTGAGGATGTAGATCAGTGGTAGAGTGCTTTTATAGCATGAGAGAAGACCTCAGTTCAACCCCAGCACCAGCCCCTCAAAAAAAAAAAAAAAAAACCCAACTGTGTGAAAGAAGTCAGGCATTAAAGGTCACGTATCATGCGATTCCATTTTTATAAACTATACAAGGAAGCCATAGAGACAAAATACAGAGTGGTAAAGAAAATGAATAAACTACTTAATGGAGAAGGAATTTTACCTTGAAATGATGGAAATGTTCTAGAACTAGATTGGGGTAGCAACTGCATAACAATGTGAATAGATTAAATGATACTGAACTGTTCATATTAAAATGGCTAATTTTACATTATGTGAATTTCCACTCAATAAATTAATTTTAACAATAGTCAATGACTAAACAATTTATTTCTGATGACAGTTTTATCTAGTTAGTCATTCAACATGTTCATCACACTATTTTGAAACAAGCACCTGTTTTGCTAAACAGATATGTGATGTATTTGATCTTCTATGATGCTAATACACAGGTCATAAGTACACAAAGGCTAAAGTGTACACAAAGGTGAATAAAAATAATGTAGAAATGAAAAAAGTCATTGGACTAATTCTAACTTATTTCTAAACATAAAAATGTTTTGCAATTATGAACAAAAAATGATAGTTTTCCTCTATTCAACAAAATCATTAGCTGTCAACGTTTTCAAAAGTATTGCAATTGAGAAGATGAAAGAGCTGTGCCCTGGCACTGGTGGCTCTTGCCTGTAATACTAGCTACTTGAGAGGCTGAGATTGTGAGGACTGCAGTTCGAAGCCAGTCTGGGCAAACAGTTCCAGAGATCCCCATCTCCAAAATAAGCAGAACAAAATGAACTGGAGGTATAGTTCAAGTGGTATAGCATCTGCTTTGGAAACACAAAGCCCTGAGTTCAAACCCCAACCCCACAAGGGAAAAAAAAAAAGGCTGTGGAGAAGGATGGTAGTAATGAAGGGTGTAATTCAACAATATCAATGTACTTAATACAACTGAACTGTATACCAAAAACGGCTAAAACGCAAATTTTATGTGATATATATTTTATAGTGCCCACCATAAACACACAAAGTATAGAAAGTTCAAGAAGAACAGAAATAAAATAGGGCCTATTAGAGATGGATTTTCACTTTTGTGAGAGTTTTTTTATATTTTGGGGGGGAGTGGACGGGGGTAGCAGGGCCTCTCACATGCTACGCAATCACTCTTCTCACTTAGCTGTAACTCCCAACCCCCTGGAGATGTATTTTAAATACAGAACTAACTTTTGTGAGATGGGTATGTTCCAGGGTCATACACAATGATTGATGAGCAGCTCATTACATTCAAGAGATGTTGTCCATCTCAGGTACATCTGCCTTCAAAACCAAGAAAATACAGAAAAAACATTTGCATTTGCAGGGTGTATGCTTTATAAACTTTTCTAACATAAATGTTTCTGCTATCCCTTTTTTGTCATTTTGGTAAGTTATTTATAAAATGCCTAATGGTACAAAAAATAAGAAAGGCCCACTGGGCCCAGATGGTAAATAATGATGACTATTTTTCTAGGTATATGAGGATTAAGTGCTATGACTGCAGTTAGAATGCCAGGGATTGAAATACTGGCTCCAACGTTTTATTAGTTCTGTGACCTTGAGCCAATAACCTTCAGCCTCAGTCTCCTCATTCACGAAAGGGGGATAAAGCTAGAACCAATCTCAAAGAGCTGTTTAGAAGATTAAAGACAACAATGGGCAGAGAAACACCTAACACAATCTGGGCATAAAATAAATAGTGAATGCTAGTTATCAGCATTATCATCCTATGAGCATAGCTACCAATACAGACCCTTCTTCCTCAAATAGTTTGCCACTCAATGGGTTTCAAAACACATACTTTATAATACTAAATTAATCATATTGGAGAGAGGGCCTTGCATTTTGCAGAATTTAGCAAAAGGGTTCAGGAAGTTAAATGTTATACAGTAACATAAAAGAGAACACTTTCAATTCTTAGAAATAAAAGCAACACAAAAGATTTATGGATCTAAACTAAATTTTTACACCTACGGAAAAGCTGTGGTTTCAAAAGCTCATTCATGACATTATTAAATTTACTTAAAGCATTAGGCAATATGAATAAAGTGATTAATGTACCTAACACGCCATATAAACAGAAATGTTCAGAATCCTAACCGCCAAAAACAGTTTAAGTAGCAATACTTTAATAATTAACTGTCCACTTTTTCTTATTCTAGAGTCAGTGTCTGATTAGAACCTAACATTATTAGATCATGTTCACGTCATATTTAGTCAAACTAGTTCTTAAATATTTATAGGCAATGTATGGAACAGTGGATGACTCTAAACAACAGATTCTTCAAAATCACATTAATTGGAATTTCCGACTTTTCAAACTTTTTACTAGAGATTCTAGTGTCCAAGAATTTACAAAATTCAAACAAAATCAGAACATATTTAGCCATTCAGGCTCACTGTTCATTTTGTGTAGTTAAAGTCTATTATTTCTCAGAGTAATGCTTAATCCATCTTAAACTACTCAATATTTGTGATCACTGTATTTCTTCTTCTTTTTTTTTTCTTTTGGGGGGTATGGGTGGTGGGGATTGAACCCAGAGCCTTGTACATGCTAGGCAAGTGCTCCACCACAGAGATACATCCCCAGCCCTTAATTTTTTAGAGACAAGGTCTCACAATGTAGTTCAGGTTGGTCTTGAACTCACTGTTTCATTGTATTTCCAATTTCTCCACTCTCTGATTTGTGGAAAATAATTAAGAACTTCTTTCTCTCACATTTTTTCACTGGAAATTAGAAAGAGTTAACATTAAACTTACTTATTTAAGTATGATTTTTAAAAGCAGGTTCCTGCTCCACATTCCTTCATAAAAGGATAGAATCATAAACACCTATCAGTTTCTCCTAATTATAACATGTGAGTACTACCTTGTGTACTCAAGAAATTTAGTGACTTACATTAAAAAAATTTATAATCTCAAGGGAGGTGATATTCACGCTATAAACCCATAAAAAAGATGAAAAGTATGAAAGGCCTCTACAATGAGTCAATCTGTTTTTTAATCCAGGCTTCACTACCTATTCACAATATTTGGAACACGTTACCTTCTTCTAGATTCTAAATCTCATTTACAAAATATCTATCTTGCAAGTATATCGTCAAAATAAATCCAAAGTATTTAACGTAATGCCTTGAACATCCGAGGTACTCAACACATGCTGTCACTGTTGTCATTATTACCATCTTAGAACTCACAGAGATTATTTGATTCAATTCTCTCATTTTACAGATAAGGATACCAAAGTATCATAAAGCAGAATATGAAATGTCAAATGAGTGCAGCAAAGATAAAAGTTAATGAGCAAGAAAACACATGAATATTCAGGCAAGGTTTTCACAGGTGGACACAGAATTAGGAAACAATGCAGTAAAACTGAAAATAAAAAAGGCACAATTGCTTCTTGTTACTAATTTTCAAACAAGTGGTTATGAACCCATGCTCAGTACAAGGTTTATACAGCAAGTTCAAAAAATAGGATGAACCCATGTCAAGGTTAAAAGCCAGCTTTTCAATTAGAAAGACAATGTATCATTTAGCAAGAACTTTGGGAGAGGGGGGAAAAAAAAACCTTCCCAAACTCAACAGGTGAGAGACTAAAAATGAAAGACTTCAAAACTTTCTTCGTTTGACAAGATTTGATTTTGTTCTGGAACAAAGTCAAAACAACATTCAGGCTTTTCATTAAACACACCTTAACTGTAGTTAATTCTGAGCCACTATAAACCTCAATCTCTATAAACGCCCAACAGCCTGTGCAATTTGATTAAAACATATATAATTTAAACTTTAAATGAGCTACTTGGTAGCCTTACATTACAAGAAGGCCACCATTATATTACCTTCCCTGAAACTTGGTCCAGTTTCTTTATTTCAACATCATCAGTGAATGCCTTTACTCACATTAAGGCAGCAGCACTAAAAACATACTTCTGTTTTTAACCAAGCTGGTTAGCCCACGCCTGAAATCTATCACTAAGGAGGCTGAAGCAGAAGGATCAAGAGTTGGGGGGTCTGCCTGGGCTACATGTTAAAAACACCACCACCAACAACAACAACAAAAGACACCAAGAAAACCTTTTGTGGTCAGTGAAAAAACATCATTTTCACACTAGACCTATACTTCTATGCTAATTTTTAAAGCCTCTCCGCCTTTCCCATGAAATCCACATTAACGTTTGGTTATCGTTTTAATTCCGAAAATTTTCAATTCAGTCACTACATTTAGACTCTTTCAAAACATTTACCTTATTTTTACTTTTGACAGACACTGAGCTAAGTTCCCCCCAGAAGTTTAAAGTTCCAGGAGATAACACACAGTAGCAGATTTCTAGTTTACTCAAACTACTCAACCAGGGCAATACTCAAAGTAATAGGTACAGCGGGAATAAACACACTTCGTTTTGAAAACATTCAAGATAGAAAACAACGCCTCTGTGAGGATGTTTACGTTTTGAAATGATTTCACACTAAGAAAACAGGGGTCAAAGCCTACCGTCGGGGGGCAAGCGCACTCCGCGACAAAGTTGATGTCACTCTCTCCCTGGCTGCCCCGACAACTATGAAGTTACCTAGGAGCAACTATGGACAGAGAACGAATGGCCATAAACAGTCTCCCTGTGGAGGCAGAAGTGCCCAAGCAGGGGTCAATCCCAACGTTTGCAGCACGGAGACCACCACATCCCGACCGGACTCTACCAAGAGTACGAACGAACCTGGCCTCCGGAGCCAAAGGCCGGGCAACGTGACTCAGGAAAGCGCCGGGCTGCAGCGGCCTAGCGCGACAGCCTCCCCAGATCTCCCAGGCCCGCCTTCTAGACCTCACCTGGAGTCTGGCGGGGCAGGAGGTGGCGGTCTGGACCCTTGTCTTGCCTCTGCGGTATCGCGGCAGCGATGGCAACAACCCAGACTTAGCCCAGCTCCGGCAGCGCGAACCCACGATGAATCAGCCCGATTCCATTCAAAAGAGTCGCCCCGGCCTGCCGTGAAGTACTTCCGGGTTCACCGCTCTACGGCGACTTCCGCTCCCCCGACGGCCAATTGGTGTTGGGCGGGAGTCCCAGAGGGAGCGCGCGGGGCGGGCCGCGCGGAGAGAGCGTCTGGCGTGTCTTGTGGAGGGTGAGGCGGAAGTCGCGGTCTGGCGTCCTCTTGCTTTTCTCCCCACCTCCGCGCTCCCTCCTGCCGCCGCCGAGTTCGCTGACGCGGGCGCGTCCTGCCGGGGCGACGACGGCTGGGCCCTGGAAAGGACCTGTTAGTATCGCGGAGCCCAGAACTCCTTTAGTTCTGTTGTCACCGCCACTGGAGCCCTCCTCAAAAACTAAGTTTCCCTTGAGCTAAGCTGAACTCGGTCACTTGAGAAGCTAAAAAGGATTTGAAAGGAGCCCTCAGACTTTTTCTAGAGTCCAGCTTACCTAGCTTCTTGTCTTTACAATATCAGCAAAGATTGGGTTTAAAAGAAAATTAACGTTTCCCAAATGCTCAAACCTACTTTAAATTATGCTTAGTTTACAGAACTGCCCAAGAAATGAGTATTGGCACGTGTAGTCTAGGTACAGTCTCTACTTTAGGGCATCATATTTACCAATCTACCTTCTCATTTTCTCAACTATTTTCCAAATAACGAGCCTCTTGTAGCATTCCTAAATCAAGGACGGTGATAAGCATTACTTATCTGAATCCAAAGCTGCGATTTGAGTGATGCAATTACACAGAATTCTTCCTCTCAGGTATCCCTCTGTCTAAAATAAATGTATTATTTTACTTAATGTTCCCTCCAAAACCTGTGCCTCCTCTTCACTTGAAGTGTTCAGTCTCCATAATAACTTCTCCAATCCACCATTCCTCTTTCTCTAATTTCCCCACTTCAGCCTTAACTGAGGCCTTCCTCAGTTTTTTTAGCATGTTGCATTAATCTTGTTCTCCCTGCCTGCAGTCTGCCCCGTCAATTTATTCTCTATCAGATTGACAAAGTTTTTTGTGTTATACAAATACAGTCATATCTCCTCTTAAAATTTTCAGGGAAAAAAGCTAATGTTAAGATCAAGGTTTAAAATCAGATATTTTGAATATGTTCACAATGCTAATGGAAACCATGTCTTAAGAACTAGAGGAAAAGGTTAATCTCAGCTACTTGGGAGGCAGAGGTCAGGAAGAGGAGGATTTGAGACCAGCACGGGCAAAAAGTTAGCAAGACCCCCATCTCAATCAATAAGCATATACCTTTGATCCCAGCTATGTGGGAGACCATATGTAGGAGGATCTCTGTCAGAGACCAGTGTGTGAAAAACATAAGACCCTATCTGAAAAATTCAGTAAAGCAAAAGAGGGCTGGGTGTGACTCAAATGGTAGAGTGCCTTTTCACCAAGTGTGAGGCCCTGAGTTCAAACCCAGGGGAAAGTTAAGAGAAAGATGTCTCACCAAAAAATAAAGAAAAAAGATAAATTATTTTTAAAAATAAACCAAAGCAGAAGAAAGAATTGGTAAATTTCGCTGAGTCAGTTGAGATCCAGTCTGAGGAGCAGATGGAAAGAAGAATGAAGAAATACAAACGGAGACCTGTTCAGACATACTAACATATGCATAATTGGAATCTCAGAAGGAGGAAAGAAAGCGGGACAGACATAATAGTTGAAAAAATAATGGCCCCCAAACTCCCTAAATTTGATGAAAACTATTAATCTACTCATCCAAGAAACCCACCAAATGCCAAGAAGGATAAACACAAAGCAATCATGCCTAGCTACATTATAATCAACCTGTTGACAGTCAAAGAAAAAGAACAGTGAAAGTAGCAAGAGAACTCTCACACAGTCCTCAATAAGATTTACAGCAGAAGCCATGAAGGCCAGAAGACAGTGGAATGAATCATTGAAAATGCTAAAAGAAAAAGACAAGAATTCTGCCACCAACCTTACTACAAAAACAAAGTTGATTCTAATACATTCCCAAAATATATGTGTAAAAAAAATTAAAGAGAAGTTGTCACTGGGAAAATTCCCTACAAGAAATACTAAAAGTCCTACTTACACAGGAGAGAAGATGGGAGGATTAGCACCTGAGGCTAGCCCTGGGCAAAAAAGCTGCAGCCCCTATCTGAAAAATAAAACGAAAGCAAAATGGGCTAGGGGAGTATCTCAAGTGGTAGAGTGCTTGCCTACCAAGCAAAAGACTTCAGTTCAAACCTCACTACTGCCCCCCAAAAATACAAATATATAGAGAGAGAGAGACTGAGAGTCCTTTAGACTGAAAGACTGAAAGATAGCTATGTAAGTATGAAAGACAGTATATATTTTTATTTGTAACTCATTTGTTCTCATTTGATTTAAAAGAAAACTGCATAAAACAGCCATTATAAATCTTTGCTGATGGGAATATTATGTGAAAAGATGAATTTGTATGACAATAGTGGAGGAGGAAGGAGGAATGAAGAAAGAGGAAGGAAATGAACATACATAGTAGCAAAGTTTCTATATACTATTAAAATTATGTTGTATAAATCCAAACTAGATTGTTAGAACTTTTAAATTATAATGCCTAGAGAAACCACTAAGAAAAATACTCAAAAAAAATGTGATAAAAGAAGATGGGAGAATCAAAACAGTGAACTAAAAAATATGTATTTAGCAGAACAAAAGCAGAAAAAGTGAAGGAATAGAGAAATAGGGGGGAAAAAGATGTTAAAAAGAAGCAAATCAAAGGCCTTGGAAAGAAATATAGACTGTTTACCTTCTTACAAGGCCCTCTGGGACCTGGCCTCTCCCTGCATATATTTTTCCTACACTCTGGCCAACCTCCTTTGTTCTGTCTACTCCCACAATACTCAAGAACCTCAGTATATTCCTTTCCCTCTGTTTAAAGCACTCAGCTTCTCCCTCTCCCTTTTCCCATTAATCTTTCTTTTTAAGTCTGAAAAGTTCACCAGGCTAGCTCCTCATACTGGACCTTCTCTAAGACCCCTAGGGTTTCTGCTTTTGTAACAGTCATCTTATTTGTACTGAGATGATTCATGAGCACAGGACCATGTCTGACTATTGTAAAGGAAGGGAAAGAAAAGAAATAGACTTACCTTATCAGTAACTACATTAAATGTAAATGGAATAAACACTGTGATTTAAAGACAGAGACTGGCAGAATGGGAATTAAAATGGTACAGTAGAAAGTATGTATTTAGCATAACAAAAGAATGGAGGAACAAAACATGTGATACAAAGAAAGCAAACTGCAAAATGGCAAATGTAAATCCTACCTTATCAATAACTACATTCAATATTAATGGGATAAACACTTAATTATAAGGCAGAGATTGGCAAAATGGGCTTTTAAAATTTATGCAATCTTATTCCCTCCATAAAGAGATAAATTTTAGATTCAAATGGCACAGCCACCTTAGAATTTATAATTTTTTATGGGCTGGGAGTGTGGCTCAAGTGGTAGAGCTCCTACCTAGCAAACATGAACACCCGAGTTCATATTCCAGTATCAAAAAGTAAAACATGATCTCTTTGACTGGCAGAGCCAAGTGGTAGAGCACCTGGTAGCAAGTACAGCAAGGCCCTGAGTTCAACCCCCAATACTGCCAAAAAGGAAGAAAGGAAGGAAGGAGAAGGAAGGAAAGAAAGAAGGAAGGAAGGAGCAAGAGAGGGAGGGAGAGAGGAATTATTCTAGCATTTTAAAAATAAACTTAAAAATATAGCTGGTGCTGGTGGCTCATGCCTGTAATCCTAACTACTCAGGAGGCAGAGATCAGGAGGGTCTCAGTTTGAAGTCAAACCAGGCAAATAATTGGCAAGACCCTATCTTTAAAATACAAAAAACCATCACATAAAAGGGCTGGCAGAGTGACTAAAGTGGTAAGAGAATCTGCCTAGCAAGCATTAGGCCCTGAATTCAAATCCCAGTGCCACAAAAAAAAAATACAAACCAAAGCCAGGCATGGTTGTGCATGCCCATAATCCCAGCACACTGGAGGCTGAGCAGATGGATCACGAGGTCTAGGACAACCTGGAGTACATAGCAAGACACTGTCTCAAAAAAGCAAACAACAAAAACCATACAAGTTAACCCAGCAACTGCTCTTTAAATATTGACCAAACATAAATAAAAACATATGTCCCCACCAAGACTTAAACATGATCGTCCCTAGTAACTTTACAGTCCAAATGTTTGTCAACCAGTGAATAGATAGAATATGGTACGTGTTTACTCTTCAATACTGATTAGCAATAAAAAGGAAATTATAGCTGGGCACTGGTGGCTCACACTTATAATTCTAATTACTTGGGAGGTTGAGATGGGGAGGGTCGTGGTTCAAGGTCAGCTTATGCAAAAAATTCATGAGACCCCACCTCAACCAATAAAAGCTGGCATACACCTGTCATCCCAGATATGCTGGAAATTTAAATAGGAGTATCATGGTCCAGGCCTAGATGGGCAAAAAGCCAAAATAATCAGAGCCAAAAGGGCAGGAAGTGGAGGTGTAGCTCAAGCAGTAAAGCTTGCCTGCCTAGCAAACACAAAGACCTGAGTTCAAATCCCAGTACTGCAAAAAATAAATAAATAAAACTACTGTACATGCAATAACATGGATGAATTTCAAAAGAATCATGCTGAGGACATGAAGTGAGATGCAGGAGTACATACTATAATAATACCACTTTAATGAAACTATAGACCATTATATATATATAGTGACAGAGAGTGGTGGATCCATTGTCTTGGTGGCTCACAGTGGAGTGAGACAGGAGAATTACACAGGAGCATGAAACAACTTTTTGAGTTGTCACAAATGTTTTATATCTTTACTGTGGTAGTAGTTTGTCAGAATTCATCAAAGTGTAGACTAAAAATGTATGCATTTTACTGTATTCAATTTATACCTCTATAAAGTTAATTGAAAAGAAAAAACTCAAATTCATTAATTTCCTTTTTTTTTACCATACCAAAGTATTTGCAGTTAAATCATGCTTTTTAT